GAGCTGAAGTGAGATCAAGTGATCATAAATTTCGCTGATACTTGTAGGGTCTGTGACGAAGGCTGCAAAATGGTGAGATGAACATACCAAGATTAGTAGTGAACATTAGACTCACGAACAGGGACAGAACGCGTCTTCAAACCCCGGATGAAGACGGTGTACCGTTGCTGGCCGCATGTCTGGTGCATCCTGCGCTGAGATATGAATGACCAATGTGAACGGTGGCGGCATCGTTCCAGAAACAATGCAAGGGTTAAATGGTATCGGAAAAAACAGGGAAACAACATTGAGGCTATGCAGCAGAGGGTTAATACATTTCTGAGGATTTAACGAGATGCACTGACCAACAAAGACCAATGAGGTGCCAGAACAAAAGGAAAAATAGCCCAACCCATAAGCAATAAGAAGAGGGGAGATAGCCGGTGCAACATAGGATCGAAGAAACACCAATCCAAGAAGCGCAGTGAGGAATGGGAAGAGGAATAGTCCGAAATTCACAATACTCCATTGCAGCGAGTGAAATCCAACAGCCTCTGGAGAGGATTGGAAGAGTGTACCGCGCTCTGGTAACCCAGAGTCAGCCGGGAATGAAGGTTGAATGCAGAACATACTCGGAAGAAGTTTGCTGGGAGGGCGATTATTGTATTTGGAGAGGACTTTTTCCATGAGGCTGAGGATATTGGGTTGTGCTAAAACCAAGGTCAGATTCCTGCTTAAATAGTGGTTCATGGTCGCCTCACTGTTATTCCGGAGTCTCCTATTTGCAAAATGCGAGTGATAGGCGTAGAAGGCAGTGACGGCCGCAACATTGCACTGCTTTGGCAAGTAGCTCGGAGTCAATTCATCCTGCAAGCTCAAGGTTCAAGCGCCGGTTGAGGGGCATAATGGAATAGTTCTTGGATGAGTGCCTCGTATGTATATATCAACAGTGTTTTCTTGGTGAGAACAGTCGCATTTTTGAGTAAAAGTTGAATATCAAATGACATAGCCTTTAACACTGCAGTCCAGGGCTGTGTTTGAAACCTGTGCAGATGGTTCAACGTGAGAAACCTATGCTCGAGAATCACAGGGAGAAAGAGCCTGAATCAATTAAGCACAACAGACTCGCAGCATCGCTTACATGATCAAGGAAGTAAGAACAGAACGATGATGTCACCTTTCCCGACACTTGAAGCCAATGTCGGGGATTCTGATATCGCAAATGACACTCTATCTTAATCCTTTGCATGCAGCCATAGTACAGTACAGCGAGAAGCGGGAATTGAGGGTCAGTACTAACAGCACACACCGGTATATACAATTGCAATGATCTATGTAAAGTTAAGGCTGCAGAGAGTAGAAAAGTGGGGGGAATTTGGGAAATTATGAAGGTAGTAGAATGGATATGACTCGTTGGTGGTCAAGAAGCAAGGGCGGCCACTCGATCACCAACAAAGCTGTTGCGGCTAGTCCCGGTGAGGCCGTTTAGCCGAGATTAGATTGATCTTATCTCTGAGGGGTTGCTGAATAGAATATTGCTATTTAGCAACCCCCGTACACTGGCACGGGGGGTTACTGATTAGAATTATCCCTGCAAGTATGATCTACTCCGCAATCTTTTCTCATCAAAAATCCGCCTCGGCATCATTTGAACATTGAGACATTATAAATAGCACTGTGCATATCTCCCTGCTGAGGTATCGGCCTATTCGAGGCGGGCCTGAGTCCGGTCAGACGACGAAAAGGGCGAGAGAATTCTGATGAATTCATACAGTAGCTAGGTCTTTTATACATGTAGCGGTACCGTATATTGTGCCAAATAAAGTAGGAGTACTAAGTCAGAAATGGCCGAATCATTCGTGTATGAGTCGGAACAATTGGGGAGTAGGTAGGAATCATGGAGGGAATAATGCGAGAGGCTATAGGAACGAAATACCATTGCCCTTATTATTCTTGAGGACAAGATCGAATATTTGAGACATTTATTGCGTCGTTGGCCGTATTGGGATGGTGGCGGTGAGTGAGTCGGGCCGGTCGGGAAATGCCGTGAGGGTCATACAACACTGCCGCGAGCGCAGCGATCGACTGCCCTTTAACGACGGGAACAAAACTATTTCAACGCGTCGCCACTCTATGTAGGCAAGAGCAAGAGCACCCGATATACATCGGCTCAAGCTGCAGCCAGGCACAGCAGGTGTGTGATTTGAATGAATCTGGGTATGGTACAACTAAACCCACGCTTTTCGTCACACACACTCCTTTCCGAAGCAAGCGCACTTCTGATTCCTATACAGCAGTGCATGCATGCTTATTGTTCAAGTAATCAGCTGACGGGTCTTCTGAACTTCCAAGATACGCACAGCCTTTGAACAGCCTTTGAACAGCTTTACCCCAAGCCATAAATAACCTAGCCTCGCTCTTACACGTCGACTCGGTACTAAATGCCCGTAACCTTCACTGTCGCCTCTCATACCGCGAAATCTGTTCCAGGTGGAGAGTCCCGCAGTCAGAGTGCACGACAGCTTCTCGCCGCCGCCTGTCCGACCCAGTACGAGAACGCGGGACTGATTCGCGGCACTTCATTCTCGAAGTGCGTTGCTTGGATATTGAATGCATCAATGGCAATTCACTGACATCCCTTCGAGATCTTTCGCAAGGGCTATGGTTATGAGCCCGGCTCCCAAATCCCAGTCTCGTCTGAGCAGACTATTCAGCAAGAGGAAAGCTCGTGTCTCAGAGAAAGTGGCCGATATTCCTCGCCGCTCCCCCGCCATCGAGCATCAGAATGGAGAGTACCTGCTCTTCAAGGATATCTTCCCCAAACCCAACGGTTTCGTTGACACCATCATCTTCGCTTACAACCAACACCACGCGCTGGTATTACGTCCCGACGACGTCTGGATCGCGATACTGACGCAGTTCAATTTCTACGTCAACGCGAATGCCGAAATCCTCCGTGCCAATTTTGTGGCTCACGAAGGCAAGAAGATGCTCAGGGTGACGACCCAAGCCTTCGGGGACTTCAGCCAGCTGGCACGCGACATGGCTGGTCTCCTCGAGAAGAATGTCATCGATCCGTCTCTGCGGGCCTGGGCTTTGCCCGATTTCTCAACCACGACTATCAACGACACCACAGTCAGCTCGATTTTGCTGATGGCAACGCTGAAGGCATACTTTGAGTATGTCTACTGCGAGACATGTTGCGGTATCCCCCGCGTTACGCTGGAGGGGGAAAAACGCGACTGGGAAAAGATCCTCGAGAGGTTAGAGAAGTTGAAGGAATATGGACTAGAGACGATTGCCTGGTATCACCTCCTCGTACCGGTTATCTCGCGATTCGTCAAGGCCTTCGACAACCCCGACGGGCAGAGCAATATCGATTTCTGGCAGAACGTCGCCCATTTCGAATCAGGCGGAAGCGGGCCGAGCTACTATACGGGTTGGATTAGCGCCTTCTGTGCGTTCAACGACCGGGGGAAGTGGCTGGGACCCAAATTGACCGCCGTGAGTGTCGTTTTCTGTTACAAGATCAGTAATCTTACGCATAAACCTGCTCTTTGAAGGAGAGCGCGGAATCCTCCGTTGCCCCCGATTCTTTGACGGCAGCGCTCTTCTGGCGTACATATGGTGGGTACGCAGGCGGACTCGTGCTTGATGACACTCGCTTCCACAAGATCGACTGCGATAATATCCCGCCTAGCTATGCGGAGGTCGACGTCAAGCTCCTCTCGGTTAATACCGGAGAGGAGGAGTGTGCAATGACCGCGGGAGTGGTTGGCACGCGCGTTTGTTCCAGCAAGGACTCCCGTCTCTCTGAATCCGGCGAGGATGACACCGTTCGCCCGGTTATTGGTTGGTGGCTCTTCAACAAAAAATGATTTGCCTACGACCGTTGTGTACATTGTAAATTATGTAGTTTCGAAATCTTAACACAAAACCCTGGTATGCACCCAGGCGGGTTCACGCGAGGCCCTCCGCTTCCCCATCCTATCTGGCGCACTACGACAAGTATGGGGGAGTCCACCGACCGACTTTCTACACATCATCCCCACAGAGGTCTGGCTGGTCTGCTGGACTCTATGCGGCAACTCTTGGACAACTCCGCCGACTGTCGCTGGTATGCTAGTTATTTTGATCTATCTGTCTACTGCTGTTGCTCTGGCTGCAACATGCCAATCTCGACGCATTAACTCTAGCCCGGAGCACTTCATAGAACTGGTTCACCACATGCACCGGATTGCGGTCCGGTTGGAAAGATTGGCGGAACCTCCCCGGGTTCTACTGGTTCGGTCCTGGAAGTTCAGCACTTTAGGTTACCACCGCCTGGTGTGACGCTCCAGCGACAAAGTCAAGTTTCAGCTGTGGCATGACATCTACGCGCGAGTTATCACCAAATTTGTTCAGTTTTAACGAACGATGAGGCGTATTACGACGATAAAGTAGATAATTCACGACTACGAGGATCAAGATTTAATCCTCGCCGTATGTAAGTATAGAAATACTAGGCGAGACAGACTGTTGGTATACAGGTGCCAATGGGGAACGTTGTTCACTCTTCCGGTCCTGCGAAACACTCGAATAAAGGCAGCTCCAATTCCTAGGTAAACAGCCTCCGAAGATCAGTGGTGACCGGTGATCGTCCCGGCCCATTGCCATCGGGCCCAACTGTGCGCGGGAGAGCGGGGGGTTCGAATTCCCCCGCAGGCATGCGCAGAGTCGCGAATTTTTTGCCCTCCCGTGAAATAGATGCTGACCCACTGATAGATTATGGGAATGACGAATTTGAGAACCGCGATTGCCAAAGGCCAGGCCATGAAGGTTTATGCCGGCTGGAAGCATCGAAGAATTGTGTTTTCCCGGGTAAGCGCATCGAGGATCCGGATATACCACATGAAAAGGAGTACTGCGACCAACTTCCGCCGAATCCAGCCAAGTCGGGAAGACCAAGTTTAAATGCTGGTGGTCAATGCAATCCGGTGGTTGAGTTACGAACGATAGCAGCTAGACTTACCACCCAACCAGCCTTCGAAGATCAGTGGCGATCGTCCCAGCCCAGTAAGAAAGTTATAGTTACAAATGTACGCGGGAAGGCGGGGGTTCGATTCCCCCCGAAGGCATAGAGTTGCACAGGATTTTTTGTCTTCCCGTGAAACTCTTTTGCCACACAAATGGATGTGGGGCGGATGTTCCCTGGTAAGCACGAAGAATTATTGGGAAAAACGGCGACCACCTTCTGATCCAGCGAAGTCGGGACGACCAAGTTGGGCTGGTTGTCAATGGAATCTCACAGGTAAAGCCACGACAGGTCAGCGCCCGCGTCGATTATGAGTTTTTGATTTCGAGCTCCAAGGAAATGCATGCAACGCATGTCGGTTCCAGATTATACATCCACAGGCCGCGATCTGGGATATACCAACTATCACAGTTTGCTCTTGCTGAGCGCCACGAACCGCCCCGCGCGCCGCTCCTTGGATGCGCGCAGGCTCTCGGAGATGTCCTGCGTTAGGATGGATTAACGTCAGTCGATGAGATAACTCAGCAAGTGATGATGAAAAACGGGCGATGATGGAAAACGGACGATGATGGAAGACGGAGGGAAGATGGGGTTCTACGGTTGGAGGTAACGCGGAAAAATGGGGATGCGCACCTCGGTCTGCAGTGCGGCGGCGTTCCACACCACCGTATAATCTAGATTTTCGGGGACGCTGGTGGGGTGTAGTTAGCGAGGATACAGAATGGCGGGAGGAGATCATGCGCGAAACAATTGGAATGGCGGGAAGAGAAGAAATTGGAAGCGAGTGAAAGCAAACGCTGCTCGGATGGAGAAGGGATGGCGGGCGAATGGACGTAATTGAGGTGGAGAAAGCAGTTGGGTTGCATCCGTCTTCCACGTTATGAGACCATGAAGCGGCTCGGGCACTTGCGCCTCGAATGAATGAAGTCCTGTCTCGAACCGAGCAGGCCCCACAGGCATCCACACAGCAAGAGAACGAAGGAAACGCACCTATGATCCCTCGCATGCACCAAAATGCGCTTCGTCCCCATCACGGCGATGGGGCTCTTCCCCGCGATCACGGCGGCCAATTCCAACGCCGCCTTGACAACTTCCTTCTGGCCGCTCTCACCGCTGGAGTGTGGCACGACACGCGACACCAGCCCCAAACGCTCTGCGTCCTTGGCAGAGAAGATCGCGGCAGAGTACGCGAGCTCGCGCATGAGGGAGTGGTTGGCGGTGATTTTGGGGAGGTAGGCGAGGGTGCCGATGTCCGCTGCGAGGCCGATGTTGACTTCCTAGCATATGTCACAAATAAATCAAAGGAGGGCAATACCGAGTGGAAAAGGGGGTGAACGCACCATAATACTGAACCGCGCATCCTCGGCGGCGTACCTCACATCGCACGCAGAGATGATATCGACACCGAGGCCGAGGACGAGCCCGTGCACAGCGACGATGACAGGGAAGGGGCAGCGCTCGGGCGCGCCGATTGCGTGCTGGAACTCCTTGACGTCTCGCAAAAGCGAGAGCGACTTGCGCGCGCCGTCGGCGACGAAGGAGCCTGTGAGGCCGCCTGTGGTTATTCCTGCTGCGTCCGCGACTTTATGGACACAATTAAAGTCAGCGCAAGGCACGTAAAATAGATCGGAGATGGCGAATATACGTACGATCTATCCCCGCGGTGAATAGTTTGGGTATGGCGGAGGAGAGGACGGCCGCGCGGACGTCCCGCCCCTCGTTCGTTATCCTATCAAACAAATCCCGATACGCGCGCCAAAATCTATCTTTCACTCAGCTTCCCGGTCGAAAATATGTGGCAAAGACACCGCTCACTCGATTGAGAATGCATTCACTGGTTTCCTGCATGGAGCACGTCAGAGAGCGGACGGGGAGGGAAGAGGGAGTAGAGAGGTGTACCGTGCGAGTTCAATGTGGAGGACATGCGGCCTGGGCTCGGAGACAAGGAGCCATTTGGAAGAAAGGTCCGCTGCGAGTGACATGATGGTAAGAGGCAAGTTGAGTTGCCGGCTCTTTGTTTGCCGAAGTAACATGTATCAACATCTTTCACGTGCGAGTTTTCGGGCCGTCGGCGTTATCGGACGAGCCGGCCGCTTGCCTTCGAACGGTGTTGTGAATTGTGAAATGCCATCAGCGCAACATCTGGGCTGGTAAACACGATAAAGCGGAGTTTTTGAATTTGCAGGCATTCGTGGGGAAAATACTGTGCAATAGTTGGAATCATCGATGAGTCACTCGGTAAGCATCCTGCGTTGATAAACTGGAATCATCCGACCATTAAAGGTGGAAACAAAATTAGAGGCAGGAAAAGCGAGCAATGAAGAATAAAGAACTGACGTCCAAAGGTGAGGCATGTGCAACGGGACAAAAACAATGTGTTTTGTCCCATGGCCATCGTGGGGGTCGAACCCAAGACCTTCGCGTAATATACCATTGAAATAACTATTTTTATATTAGCACGACGCTCTAACCAACTGAGCTAGACGGCCGATAGATTGTGGTAAGTAGTCAGCTACGTAGTATGCTATTATCCTAGGCCATACACCCCTGATGGACCATCTCTCGTAGAAGTAAAAGAATGTAAGAAAGTAAATTAGCGCAGCAACACGGGACCTAAATCAAATCCAGCATTACGATACACAGGAATGGCACAAAATATTTCCAGGACAACCGGAAAATACTGGGAGGAGATGCCAGCCAGGAATGCAACTCGTCTAAGTGATCATGAAAAGAATAAATATTTGTGAAGCTGAAATACATTAGCCTGAGATTCAAATTCAATCAAAAACTGAATCCAATATCCGCGTGGAGAATAAGGCCGCGTCGTGAAGTTTCTGTTGAACCAGTGACTCGGAATCATTGGAGGTTTTATTTCAAAGTGCCGACGAGTAAAGGAGTAGCCAATGCAAGTCAGGCAGTCTAAGGAATACCATAATTAGTCGGATGGAATCACTGAAATGGGTGAAAAGGCTGAACTTGAACTTGAACTTGAGTTCTATTTGTAGCTGTACCTGGCCCTAAGGGCTACGCAGCCGTACACTAGTCTAACTAGTATGGGGGTATTCGAGAATAACTGTAAGTGGGTTGGCGAGGCTTTTTTGTGTGTACGTCAGAGAGAGAGGGAGAAGTAAAAGGAGAATACCGACGGGGAAACATGAGTCACATCGTAACGTAGCGGGGTTGGGTGAGAGGGCGAATGGGAGTGGTATGTAAGCTAAGAAGGGTGTGTGGTGATGGTTATTATGTGTAAGTAAGGTAGGGAGATAAGATGGAAAGTGAAATAGAAAAGACATGACTCAGCAGAAACGGCGGGTCTTGGTTACGAAGGTGATGAGGAGTTTGAGCAGCTTTGGGTGATTCAACAAGTTGCGAACACTAACTGCGCCGAGTATACCCGCTCCATATGATGCTCGTTGTAGGGGTTGGCGCAAATGTTCCCATGCCGGGCAGTGTAGCAGGTAATGGGCACGAGTCTCCCTCGCAGCACCGCATGAGTCGCAGGTTGGGGAAGGGGCAAGGCGGCACCGGAATCGATGGGCGTTGAGCGACGAAAAGTCCGTACGCAGCTGGGACAAGATGGAGATATCGGCGCGAGAGGCAGATGAGGTGTATGGAGACCGAAGGATGAGCGAGGGTGGACTGTTGTCAATTTCACGGAGACCGCGTCCAGGTGTAGCTACTTTCCATGAGTCGCGCCAACGGTCGAGAATGAGGGTGTTGATGGCGCGCTTGCACGTAGTCAGCGAGACCGGTACTGAGGGAGAAGGGGGGAGGTGGGTAGCGGCTTTTGCTGCGTCATCTGCTAGCTCGTTGCCTTCGGTGCCAATATGCGCCGGCGTCCAGAGGTTAACTATTTGCAACTCGGGAAGAAATTTCGGATATATCTCAACGACTCGGAGATCCTCGCAAACGCCTGAATTTGGTGAATAAATGATCGATGAACCCGTCATTTTGCCTTCGTTGCCTGGTCAAGTAATTCAATCAATTCAGTTTCTTCAGCTCATGATACAAGATATGTATCCAGGTCAGTTGCTGAATTGTCGGTTTCCGCCAGGATGCCCAGAATGCTCAGGCTCGGGCCATGCGAAGAGCGCTAGCCTCATGTCTGCAGGCACAATTGTGGTTCATTTACTATAGATCGGACTGGCGGAGTCGGAGGCACGCAGATATGCTGTATATAGGTCTAACTGGTTTGGCTTTGGCTTTGTTTTGAGTGTTGTGCCGTCTAGCACCGCTTGGTATGGTTACATCACAGAAGTATGGTCCTCATTCTCAACCCGGCTGTGTAACCAAATCCAAAAAAACAATATATAGCATATTCAACTTGGCACACACGGAAGCTCAATAGCCAAGTACTACATTGATTTCTCTGACAGTGCACAACCAACCTGCGCTCAAGAACAGGTGAGTACTCGGTTTGCGTCCCTCAAAATTGTGCCTACACGGAGGGACAGTCAGTAAACTTGCTGCCTGCATGGACATCTTATGTGTTGAAATGCTCATCCAAATTGAAGCTGCTACTGACGCGATTTCCGGCGTCATCAAGGCAGGCCGAACTGAGCGTGATTCCGCTGAATCCGATGTTCTCGCAAGAAGAACTGAAGTTGTTGCCGCTGCAAACGACAGAAAGCAGAGAAACATAAGCAACTCGCGGGCTAGCGTCGGCGAAGCATACTTGCGCGGTCAACTCTCCGTTTGTATTGCCGACGCATGAGTTGAGATTAATACTCGACGTCATTGGGTGCCGGAATTGGTGGGACATGTTCCGGTGAGCTCGAGGGTGGCCAGGTTGACGCTGATGTTTTCGCAGCTCGGGGTCAAGTTGGTGTCGGTAACGGGCCCATTCGAGCGCGCAGCGAACGCCCCGGGGATAGCAGCCTGGAGCGCGAGAACAACGGAGGATAGAAGCCTTCTATTTTTCAGGACTTTTAAAGCTGTCTTCTGGTCCGTTTTTGCAGCCCTTATATACCGTCGAAAATCCAAATTCGTCCGCCAGACCGGTGAAAGCATATTGCCTGGGTGGACTTCATCCAAATCGGGGGCGTTTCTGGAATTTTGTCAGTCTGCTGCGCTAAGAAATTCATTACTGCAGATGAGTCTCGGTGTACAGACTTTCCGTGGAAGTTGTGTGGCATCTGGTAAAGCATGGAAGAGAAGTTTTGAGTCAGGATTCATTAGGTAGGTAGGTAGGTGGCTCCTTTTCGCTGGCGCAGGGCCATTTGGCCGGCGTGAGGCCTTTTCGCTGGCTCCTGTCTCTCCCAATCACGCGTAGCGGTATTTGATTATTATTCTTCGACTACCAATTCCTTGTCTGTATTATGTTACTGTCTTACGGGGTGGATGCCTCTTCCCTCCGCCGGGCCCACTTCCCGGAGCTTTCCGTTCGCCGGTGTACTGTGTGCACTGTGGTGCCGGAGCGGCACAGCAGCAACGGGATTCAAAAACAAAGTATGATAGCCGAATGGCCGTAAGTCTCTACAGACTCAGCTCTCAACATAACTATTAACACTGGCACGCTTAGAGCCGAGTGATACCTAGGATTCGCGACCAACGTCTTAGTATTTCTTCGTGGATGAACTTGTAGCATAGTTTCGCCCTGCATTCCTTTCTACCGCATCGCTCATCCACGGTCGCTCCTCCGCACTTTCTCCCTCACCGGAAACTCATTTCCACCGCGGAGCTTCTCCCTCATTCGTGGCAGACAGTCTAACCTGATTCACGTGAAATTTACCCCGCTCTGCGGGATGATTTTGTTAATCCCGCAACCTAGAGCATCTCCCGATCCTGTTACACTGCTGTACGAAGAGAGAGACCAGACCAACCCGAGTCTTGTGACTGCGGTATTACCAGGCTAGTTTCGAGTCCAGTAAAAGTAACTTATTTCCTAACTTGGTAAGTTTACTTAGCCCTTCGGCTTAGGTGGCCGAACTTATACTTTACTTTTCCCATGCTTAGCGAACTTAACTTATTCAAACTCCGCCCACACTGCTACTCCCCGCATACAAAATAAGCTTCCCTGGATCTCGTGGGGTGTTCAGGCCTCTACCGTCTGGGCCTGCATATGACTGTGTACAAGCATGTAATCTGAATTACATGGGAATCACTGAGATTCGTCCCGTTTCATCTTGACCCATAGCAGATAGAAATAACACAACCCTGATTCGATCGTAGACTAAGCATCCCATTTCATGCTATGATGAATGCCTGCCAGACTTATCCTGTCTGATCCAAGCTCAATATACCAGCATGTGAATTCCAGCTCTTTGCAGAACTTAGGGCGCAGGTCGTTTTTTTTTTTTTTGCAGCTATTTTGGGTAGAACAGCAGCTGCGGGTTCAATTCTTGTCCGCTTTCCTTGTGAGCATGGTCAATCGATTCAAAATTCCTATGCGCAGTTTTCTGTATCTTCAGATCCTTTATTTGGTTCTCAGATCAAATTTATGGCCCAAGTAAACACATTTTGGGACATTTCCCAGCAGGACAGCTCTAGCATTAGTGTTTGACCCCCGATTGCCCTAGATTTTTTATATGGTGGACTTCTATGTATAATGTAGTTCCACACTTCGACACGGCCCAGGTTGGACCGTGACACTCCCAAAAAATCGACATTAACAATGCAGGGACATTGTAGGATTGTTTGGGGGTTTCTGTGGAAGCAAGGCAAACCAGGTAGACATTGGTTTAAATTAATTGACTATGGAATGGTTCTCTCAGCAATTTTGTGAGAGTTTATTGAGTGTGGATCCCCCCTGGAAGCTACACGTCAAATCCTGAAGTTTGTGAGGCTTCGAGTCCTTTCGGAGTGAAGCACACAAACAATAAAGAACTCAGAGGATGGGAACAAAGAGAACAGAGGTAAGTGCCCCTTGTTCAAGGGGGATTATTCTACTGTAGGCTATTTCTACGTGTGTTTATATAGACTACAGTAACTACGGAATAAGTCATGAAAAGTCAGAACTTGACTCGCACCCCTGGATGTCGTGTGTTTGTTGGCCCCAAATCGCCCCATTGGCGCTGTTACAATATGTGCGGAGCAGAATGCACCATGCACGCCTGCCACGGAGCTCCTGCTCGCACTTTTGGACATCTCACGAGCGTCGGTCCCCCTCCGCTCCCTCGTGATCATCCCACCAATGTCTCCGACTCCCGATCTCTTGCGCGCCATCACGTCTCTGTTCCCGAGTTGCGGGATTTATTCCTTACCATCGACGAGGACGATCCGGAGTCGATATTCGACAGTATCAGGTACACCCCCCGCCGGTCGTTCGATTCAGGCGACCCTCCCTCCCTGGGGCTTTGCGATGAGGAAGCGTTCGACGACCTCCCTCCCGAGGATATCTCGGATGACGAAGACCAAGATGCGCCTCCAGCCGTTGCGACTCTCGTGCAGGATTCAATCCACCCAGAGCTACCTGAAACGGCCAACCTCTATGTGAGTTTCCATTACAACGGTTTCTCCGCACCGCATAAATTAACAATCTACGGCCCAG